TATAACAGGAAAAGATTAGCTTGGCTTAAAGCTTCAGTTCATGATCAATTGGCACCAAGGAAGTCACAGAATGGCAAAGAAAAGCTGCTCAACTCATCCAGGAAGGAAGCCGAGAAATTCAGGAAAAGACAGAAATGGGAATATAACTTTCCAAGCCACACCACCAGTGACCTACTTCTAGCCATGCCCTATGTCCAAAGAGCACATTCATCTACTGAAATCATAAAGGGTTGTATACACTGATGAGAACAGTTTGCACATAATCCAATCAACTTCCAAACCCATGGAGCATTTGAGGTTTTTTTTTTTTGTACCGGGGATTGAACTCAGGACTCTGCACTTGGTTCATTTTTGATACAAATCATAACACCAGGTCTGCTGATGTGTTAAATACAGGACACCCATCACAGCACAGCATCAACCATACACAAATTGTCCACACGAGCCAGGAGTATCCAACCACCGTGCCACTGTCACTGCACAATATGGTGAGAAGTGAGGTTTCAGGCACAGCTGCCCAAGACAGGCCATGCTGCAGTCACCTCAATTAGACGAAGCATGATTAGTTATTGGCAGCTGCCTCAACCCAACACAGAGCATCTGGAAGCCCAAAGTGCATACAAGCAGCTACTGATATATGGAAAGAAACACTCTCCCATGGCTCCAGAGGCACAGGTTTGGCCAAGGTTGTTTCTGTCCTCTTCTAGCCAGAGATTATGCTTCTACCACAAAACCCACTCCTGTCCCGAGTCACTGGGCCTTGCACTTTCATCATTTCCAGGATTGAGGTTCTCCCAGTGTCATTCCTTTGTATTCTCCAGTATGTAGAACCCAAATAGCAAGTTAGTCAGAGATACCTGAGGTGGCTCTCAGGTATACACTGGGAGCTTCTAACTTGGGTGGGAGAGAAGATTCCCATCTCTGGCCAGGGTGGCTGATTGGACAGTTCACACAGCACCAATGTTTCTTTCCTGATGCACTGCTGCTTCATTTGCTCCCTTCTGAGCCAAGAGGAACAAGACAAAAAATGCACAGTCTGTTTGAGTGAAGCTCATATGATAGGTTCAAACCAAACCCTTCTTAGTGCAGGCTTCCTCCTAGGATGCTGATTTGACTTACAATAAGGGAACATCAGTGAAGCAGATTTTTCTCCTACCATTGAAGAGCTGCCACTATCTTTTTAGTTTGGTTAATTGGCTCTGCCTAGGTTTTGTCCCTAAAAATGGGGTCCCAAGTGTATCCCTGTACTTCCAGACTCAAAGTCTAAAGGAGGAAACCCCAAACCCCAAAGACTGTGGGTCCAGGAAATGACAGGACACAATGAAATCAAAAGGGAAGGCTGAATGTTTTCAGAGGGTAGAAATTTGAGTAAGTCACTTGGGTACACTGCACAGACTTTCTCATAGCTTATTAATCTACTTATTTTTAGCAAAGAAAATAAAAACATACTGAGAAGAGAATATAATTATTTCATAAATAAAGCTGGAGTAATATAATAGTAAAAACATGCTGAAAAGAGAATGTAACTATTGCATAAATAAATTGGAATAAAATGGTAGTATTATGCAAAAGAATCAGTATGAAAGGAAATATTTCAACTGTCTCAAACAGGCAATCTACTTCTTTCAAAGTCACTAAGATAATCTGCATTCTGATGATCACAGTAATATTTCTAAACATGAGGGCCAGAATGGTAGCTGAAATACAGCCCCATCCCCAATGACTTTCCTGATCACCGAGGACTTCCCTGTGATAAAGCAGGAACACTTAAGCTTTTAACATTGTAAACTTTGTGTAGTACAGTCTCATCTTCACATGCTGAAAGCCTCTCACCTTCAAAATACTAATTTCACCACAGAAAAGGTCTGACCTGGAGTTATCTAATGGTGAGGCTCCATGATAAATGTGATTGGCTTGAGAGATTCCTACCACACTGGTAAAGTGTATGTCTGTGTGGGTCTGAATTGTGCATGGAGGCGTGGGCTTAGGGACGGTATCTGTATCCCAGCCCTTCCTCCCAGACTTCCCCTGCACTCTGCTTCTTGCCTGCCAGGAGGTGGGTGGCACCTACCTCCTACCATGGTACTTTTTTGTAGCAAGGACAACTTGAACTAATATCCTTAAATTTATGAGCCAATAGAATGCTTTTCTTCCTCTGTTGTGTATGAAATACATATTGTAAAATCAATTAAAAAAATACAGTCCACTGCACATGTCTGACCTTCTTGTTCTCCCATTTAGTCTTCAAGGGTTGCTGATTTTAAGATAGGTTGCTGTTTTGTTAGTGATAAAAAACCCCACAACTTTTCTATGTGTTTCCAGGTGAACTGCAAAGTGGAAGTGCATGTGTTTTGTTTGATTTTTAATGGCAATATTTAACCTTCAACATGAATTCCACTTATTGTCTCAATTAAAGATAATGTGATCAGAAGCCTCAGGGTTCACAACTTTGGATCTGACGATACTTTGACAACCCATAATTCTTTTTTTATGTTTTCCAGTACTGGGGATAAAACTCAGGACCTTGTGCTTGCAAGGCAGGTGCAGAGCTAGACAATCCAAAATTCTGCCTGCAAGAGTTCTCACTTATTTTCTCAGTTAACCTCAGTAACCTCTCAGGCTAGGCTTCCTTCATCACTATGTCTAGATGTTTGATACATTGTTCAGAGTCCTGCTCTAATACTCCTGACTCCTAAGTTAAGGGAATAACATTTCTTTGGTTGTCCTTTTGGTTTTCTTGGTGTGAACACATTTTCACAAATGTGAGAGGAGCCACTCCTCTCAAGGATAGCATAGGATTTTGTATCATAAATAAAATGTCTACTAATTAATCAGCTTGCATGGCTGTCTTTTGTTTGCCTTACCTTCTAACCTACACTCCTCTTAATGGGTAGTCTGCGGTCTACCCACTGCTTCTTAGGTATCTGGAGGCCTCCTGTTTGCAGCTGTGCTGCTCCATTTATTGTACCCAGTCTGTAAATTACTTCTCATTTTTTTTCCACATTAGAATGTGGACAAACTTGTAAAACTTGATTTTCTTTCCATGTAGTGATTTGTCTTTAAGTATTTTTCAATATTTTATTCTCAAAACTACTTTTAGTGAGTGTGAACAGTAATGACAATATAAATATCCTTACCCTCAGAAAGTTTTGTAACTGGGCCTTGGGCAGTGGTTAACAACACCCAAGTGAAACCCTGTTAGACTCATCCTTGCCTTCCCCATAGATAACAATTGTCATATTTATTTTCCTATTTTTTTCTGAGCTTACCATGTGTATGTATTCTTATAGTTTTGCCCCTTGAAATGTTCAGAGACTATATTCAAAATGTATAGAAAAACATTTTAGCTAGTATTTTTTTGTCTCTGTTTCACATGTGTTCATGTTTGAGTTAGGGGCACAGTCCCTTGTCAGGCATTCTAAAGGTCACATGGTTGAAGCTTTTTCAAGTTTACTTGTTATAGGTATGAAAAGAGTCACATTTGTCTCCAGAAACAAATACACAATGTATTTTTTTGGATGTTATTTTGGTGTACTCCAAAGTAGAGGACATGATTGGAGAGTGTTATCATTTGATTCTTCATTCTTTTATAAGTCCACATACTAATTGTGTCTTTCCATGGTTTCATGTCCTTTGGCTATTTCCTCAACCATGGTTATTGGTGTTTTCTCTTGAATTGTGTATGTTTTGTTTATTTTTTTTACATGTTTGTTGATTTTTACTCAGTATACACCTTTTTATTGTATAGAGGGCAAATTTTTTTAATTTCTTTTCTCTATTGCCTGTCATGATTTACATATCTGTCAGCATCCCCCTCTAATTCTGACAGCTTCACGATTTTCTGGGGAAACAACTTTTTCACATCCGAAAGATATTTGACTGAATTCTCAAAGTATTCGAGTTTATCTTTCCCATTTCAAGATGTAACTAAATTTCTGTACATGGACTATGAAAAATAAAGCACATGTTTCAATATATGTACCAGTTTGTCCCTGCCTCTTGTATTAAACAGATGGTGATTTCTGCCACTTTGTACAATAAAAGCTGTATCATGAATCAGTGTTCTATTCTCAAGTGAGCCCTTCACCGACTCTCTTCCTTTTTTGTGATCTATTTGTCATTCTCACTAATAGAACAGTGCCTCAAATAGTAGATTTTCCCTGTCTTTCTTGTATATTACAGGAGCTGTCACTTTATTGTTTACTAGTTATTGAACATTGTTAAACATTTGTTATACTGAAAGTTATAATTGTCTTTGACATATCAAGGGGTGATTTGGAAGTCAAATTTTTTTCGTCAACTTTTTTTATTACTACAAGTTTAGTTTGCAAAATACTGGTTTTCAGTATATATAATTTATATTTCAATCATATCCGTCCCTCATTCATCTCCCATATGCTACTTTTTGTTTCATTGAGCTATAAGACATTATGTCTTCCTTACTTTAATTTTATTGTTCTTAGATATTCTCCAATAAAAACTGTAATATTTTTCATTAGCATTCCAAATTGTCATTCATGAATTTTACTTAGCATTCAGTTATGCTTTTGTCTATGATACCAGGCTCAAGTTTCAAAATGCTGTCTAAATATAATTAGAAAAGGAAGGAATCAATTCAATAAGTAATATGTTGGGAAAAATATATTCTGTGATCTGTGAGAACTGTTCATCAGATATTTTTCTACCATAGTTTATTTACTTGGATGCTGATCTTATAGAATCCCTATATAAACAATGCTGCAAGGACAGTGTGTTCAAATAAAACTGAAGTTAACCAGCAGGAGAACCAGTGTTCCCATTCTGCTGTTGCTTTAGCTTTGAATTCTAGTCTAGCATCAAAATTCCTGTACTAGTGTATATATGAATGGAAAATAAGTGTTTGATGACCAAAACATGAATTAAACATTTGGAGGATTCAGACTCATTTCAGCTTTTTGTAAGGAGATGTGAAATGTTTCTTATTGTCTCTTCTTTCTGGATATATATGTCTGATGATTTAGGAGGAAGTGTCTTTTGAGGATGTAGCTGTAAACTTCACCATGGAGGAGTGGGCCTTGCTGGATCCATCACAGAAGAAGCTCTACAGAGATGTGATGTGGGAAACTTTTAGGAATGTCGCTGATATAGGTAAGAATAATATCCTTTCTCATTTATGCAGTAAGAGAGCATTGGTTATTGCTTATCAGTTCTGTTTAGTGCATTGGAATATGGAAACACTTGATATGATTCTAATTGGAATCTCTGAATTTTTATGTAATGTAGTAACTCATCATTACATTTCTCTTTCTACACTTTAGGAAGAAACTGGGGTAGTGAGAAAATTGAAGATGACTACAAAAATTGCAGGAGAAATCTAAGGTAATTTGCACTCACAAGAACAATATTTCTCAAGTGGCAAAAATATTAAAACCAAGCAAACTATACAAATGTAGCCAAGTTCCAATTTCTGTAATAACACAATATTTTTCCAAAGATGCATGCATGTTGATTATCTATAATCTGATACTTGAATATTTGAAATATTACAGTATTTGAAATGTAAGCAATACTGACATTATGCCACAAATGACACTATGTAATGTAAAAGAAATTATTTTCCACCAAAATTATAAAAATTTTATATGAAATTGAATTTAGGCATTGACTACAGGAGTATATAAAACAAATTTTGTGTTTAGACTCAGAGACAAATTCAGGATATCTAATTATGTATATGTATATTTTCAGAAGACCACATTTATGTCAAACGTGTAAGGAATACTACATGTACTTAAGTGTGGTATCCACATTCAGTGTATGCAAAATTGCTATCCTTGTGGACATATTCAAAATCCAAATAAATGTGACTCTTGATAAGAATTGATTTCAAGCCATTCTCCAAAGCATTCAGTCTATTCATGTTCCAAAACAGTAGAAGGGACATTTCGATAATATCATTGTAGTGTAAAAATCTCTGAAAATGTGTATAAAGATTTGTCAAAAAAGTAAAAACAGAAATTTCTTTTTCTAGTTTTCCTGGGTGTATTCCCCCTGAAAATAAAGTAATCATATTACAGTAATGCATGCATAGCCTTGTTTGTAGCAGTACAACTTATAAAATCTAAATTTGGGAAACAGCTTAGATGCCCATTCATAGATGAGCTGATTAAGGAACTGTGGGATAGGCTGGGAAGGATGGTGCATGTATGGAATCCTAGCACTCTAGGAAGCTGAGGCAGGAGATCATACATTCATGCTCAGCCTAGGAAACTTAATGACTTCATCAGTTTAAAACAGTCTCTGTTTTAAAATAAGAAATAAATAAGGCTGGGGATGTAACTCAGTGGTAAAGCCCTTAAATCTCCAGCACTGAAAAGATGTGTGTATACATAACAAAAAATGAAGTGATATCACTTTCCAAAAAAGTGAATGTATCTGGAGTCAATAATGTTAAATTATATGATTCAGACACAGAAATTTCAGTATCATATGTTATGTTTAGAATGAGAAACCCAAATTATGAGTTAAGGAGTTAAATAAAGGACAGATGGTAGAAAAGAGAGAGGCAGACATTCTGGAGTGGGTGAAGAGGCTCAGTGGAAGAGAGAGGGGATGGAGTCATGGAAAAAACAGTTAAGAAACATAATCAACATATATTATACGTATGTACCAATTCATCAGAATGAAAGTGTTATGTGTTACAAACATGTCAGTTATAAACTGCCAAACGAACACTGCTGTTTTGGTAAAAGCTGTTTCCAAGCATCATCCAGAGTATACAGTAAACTCATGATCATATATTTTTAGGTAGCAGCAAACCAGATCTCTTCCCAGTAAACCATTAATTAAGCGTGACTTTTAAATGTGATTGGTGGTTTTATTTTATTCCTTTACAGCAGTGAAGAAATAGAGAAATGTGGTGAATATGAATTATGGTATCACCATGGAGAAATGATTTTCTGGACTACAGATACTAGTGTAAACATAAAACCAGTTGGTACAAAACCAAATGAAAGCTTTGGCTCTATAAATCCTCTGATTGGTCATTCATCACTAAATGTACCCATCATAGCTAACACTGGATTCAAATCATCTGAGTATCAGGGATTTGAAGAGAATCTATCTAGCTGTAACAAATATGGGAAGATCTGCACTGATTTTCAGTCATCTCAGAAGCATGTAAAAACAAATCCTGGAGAGAAACCTTATGAATATAAGCAATATGAATTATACTCCTATTCCACTGAAGGAACTAATACTGAAGAGAACCCTTTCGTAGATGAGCAAGATGTGAAAGTCTGTACAACCAACTATGTTCAAATCTGGGAAAGAAATCACAGTGGAGTGAATATCTATATATGTACACAATGTGGAAAAGGTTTCAATTCTCACCAATTTATTCAAATGCATGAAAGAGCTCATATTGGCAAAAAACTCTATGTATCTAAACATAGTGGGAAATCCTTCACTAATAGCACTTCATTTGGAAATCATCAAAGGACTCACATTGGGGAGAAACCCTATCTATGTAAGCACTGTGGGAAAGCATTTAGCACCCACAGTGATTGTCAAAGACATGAACGAACTCACACTGGGGAGAAACCCTATGAATGTAAGCAGTGTGGGAAAGCTTTCAGAACACACAGTGATTGTCAAAGGCACCAACGAACTCACACTGGGGAGAAACCATATGAATGTAAGCAATGTGGTAAAGCTTTTCGGACACACAGTGATTGTCAAAGACATGAAAGAACTCACACTGGGGAGAAACCCTATGTATGTAAGCAATGTGGGAAGGCCTTTAGCACACACAGCGATTGTCAAAGACATGAAAGAACTCACACTGGGGAGAAACTCTATGAATGTAAGCAATGTGGGAAAGCTTTCAGCACACATAGTAATTGTCGAATTCATGAAAGAATTCACACTGGGGAGAAACCCTATGTATGTAAGCATTGTGGGAAAGCATTTAGCAGACACAGTAATTGTCAAATACATGAAAGAACTCACACTGGGGAGAAACCCTACGTATGTAAGCAATGTGGGAAAGGTTTTAGCAGACTTGGTACTTGTAGAATACATGAAAGAACTCACACTGGGGAAAAACCCTATGTATGTAAGCAGTGTGGGAAAGGTTTCATCAGACACAGTCATTGCCAAATACATGAAAGTACTCATATTGGGGAGAAACTCAATGAATGTAAGCAATGTGGGAAAGCTTTCAGCACACACAGTGATTGTCAAAGACATGAAAGAACTCACACTGGGGAGAAACTCTATGTATGTAAGCAATGTGGCAAAGGTTTCAAGACACACAGTGATTGTCAAAGACATGAAAGGACTCACACTGGGGAGAAACCCTATGTATGTAAGCAGTGTGGGAAAGCATTCAGCAGACATGGTAATTGTCAAATGCATGAACGAACTCACACTGGGGAAAAACCTTATGCATGTAAACAGTGTGGGAAAGCTTTCAGCAGACATGGTGCTTGTCAAATACATGAAAGAACTCATACTGGGGAGAAACCCTATATATGTAAGCAATGTGGAAAAGCATTCAGCAGACACAGTCATTGTCAAATACATGAAAGAACTCACATTGGAGATAAACCCTATGAATGTAAGCAATGTGGGAAAGCTTTCAGTACACACAGTGATTGTCAAAGACATGAAAGAACTCACACTGGGGAGAAACTCTACGTATGTAAGCAATGTGCGAAAGCTTTCAGCACACTCAGTAGTTGTCGAACACATGAACGAACTCACACTGGGGAAAAACCTCATGTATGTAAGCAATGTGGGAAAGCTTTCAGCACACGGAGTCATTGTCGAATACATGAAAGAATTCACACTGGGGAGAAACCCTTCGTATGTAAGCAATGTGGGAAAGCTTTTAGCACACACAGTAATTGTCAAGTTCATGAACGAACTCACACTGGGGAGAAACCCTATGTATGCAAGCAGTGCGGGAAAGCTTTCAGCACACCAGGTTGTTGTCGAAAACATGAAAGAACTCACAGCAGGGTAAAGCCCTATGTATGTAAGCAGTGTGGGAAAGCTTTCACAACACAGAGGTACTGTCGAATACATGAAAGAACTCACACTGGGCAGAAATCCTATGAATGTAAGCAGTGTGGGAAAGCTTTTACAACTCAAAGGTATTGTCAAGAACATGAAAAAACACACTGGAGAGAAACCCTATGTATGTAACCAATGTGGGAAAGCTTTCAGCACACAGTATTTGTCAAAGATATGAAAGAATTCACTGGGTATAAACCATACCTATGTAAGCAATGAAGAAAAACTTTCAGCACCTACTGGTATTGTCAAATACATGAATCATAAAGGGCACAAATGCTTTTTATGTAAGATACATGGAAAAGCATTCACTTATGCTCATAGATATTAAACAAGAGAAATTTAACTGTGACTATATAAAGTGACTTGCACTGACCTGAAAGGTCTCAGTGGAGAGAAGTCCGTTCTTTATAAGCAAATGAAAAATTCAAGCCTAACCCTAATCTCACAGGCCAGGTTTCTTCTTTCATTCTATCAAGATATTTGGTACATAGTTGAGAGTTCTGTTCTACCCAAGTCCTCAGTAATGAGGATAATATTTCTTTGCAAGTCCTCTTGGTTTTCTTTGCCATATGTTCACAAATGTGAATATAAAACCACTCCTCTCAAGGATGGCAGAGGATTATCAGCTTGTATGTCTGTGTATTTATCCAAATTTCTAATCTGCACTCCTAATGTCCAGCAAGTAGTCAGATCCCTGCTTGTTTGGCATCTGCAGCCCTCATGTTTGGAACTGTGCTGCTTTATTTACTGTGCACAGTCTGTATATTTTCTCTGAATTTTTTCCTTGTTAGAATCTAGGCAAATATGTATAAATTTATAGTTTCCACGTGGTAATTTAGTGTTTAAATACTTTTCAATAAATTTATTTTCAAAAAGGTTTTTGGTGAGACTTAGTAACAGTATAAATGTCCTGGGAACAAACACTCAGAAACTTTTATAACTTAGTGGTGGAGTCCCCAGGTGAAATCCTATACAACTTACTCTTGTCTTCCTCTTGAATTACCACTCTCTTCTTTTGCTATTTTTCCTAAGTTTACCATGTGTCATTGTCACTACCAGTATTCTTTCAGTTTTGAATCCTTGGAATATTAAGTAAGTGAGTACTATAGAAATTGCACAGAAATGCATTATATGTGGTTTCTTTGTCTCACTGTATTTCACATGTGCTCGTGTGAGTTAAGGGTGAAGGACTTCCTCATCCATTATGGTGGTCACACAGTTGAAGTTTTTTCAAGTTTAATTTTTATAGCTGTGAAAAAAAGTCACATCTTCGGAAACAACAGCACAGTATATTTTCTGGACACTGGAATAAAGTTACTGGTCTGTAGTTATTGGTGTACTCCAAAGTACAGGATAAGGCTCTGGAGTGTGTCGTTTGATCATTTATTCATAAGTCTACTTACTAGTAGAGTCTTTGCACAATTTCATTTCCTTTCCTTTGGCTATTTCCTCAACCAAAGTCATAGATTTTGTTTATATTTGGTGTTTTCTCTTGAATTGTGTATGTTTTGTTCAATTTTCTTATATGTTTGTTGATTTTTACTCAGTATACAAAATTTTTATTATATCCTGTGCAAATGTTTTTTAATTTGTCTCCATTGCCCATCATGATTTACATAGATATCAATATCTCCTTGTAATTCTGATGGCTTCATGATTTTCTTCTGGTGAAAGAATTTTGTTTTTACATCCAAAAGATATTTGATTGTATTCTCAAAGTATTCAAGTTTCTCTTTCCCATGTCAAGTTGTAACTAAATTATTGTACATGGACTATGATGAATAAAGTGCATGTTTCAAAATATGTACCAGTTTGTCCCTGCCTCTTGTATTAAATGGATGGTGACTTCTGCCACTCTACAGTAAGAGCTCTGTCATGAATCATTACCATTTAGATGTGAGCCCATCAAAGACTCTCTTACTCTTCATTGATTCTACTAGAAGAGCGGTCCCCTAAATAGAGGATTTTGAATCTCTTTCCTTTATATTAAGCAATGTAGCACCTTGTTTACTTGTTATTGGATATTTAAAACATTTGTTATACTGAGCACTTATAAATATTTTTGCCAAATCAAAGATTTGGATGTGACAACATTTTTCTACAATTTTTCATTTTATTATTAGTGCTTGTTAATTTTTAAAAAATGGTGTTCATTACATATGTATTTTGACCGTATCCACTCCCTATTTCCCTTATACCACCTTAGAAATTTTTTATGTCTGTGACAGGTGACTATTTTTTGTCCTTCAGCTGTGAGATAATATATCTTCCTTGATCTAATTTCATTGTTCTTAAACATTCTCTAATAAAAACTAATATTTTTATTAACAGTTTAAATCATCACTTATTAATTTCCTTAGTGTTCAGTTAAGGTTTATCTATAAAACGAGGTTCACGTTTCAAAATGTTGTCTTAAATACAATGTGAGAAGGAAGAGATGAGTTCCCTAAATAATAAGTTGAGAAAATAGATATTTTCTATGATCTATCAGTAGTTCATTAGGTAGTTCATTAGGCATTTTTCTGCCTGAGAGTTTTACTTGGATGTTAATCATCTAGGCTACCTCTTTGATCCATGCTTTAGGGACAGTGCATGTGAAAAACTGAGATTAACCAGTAGGAGAACAGTGTTCCCATTCTGCTGTTGCTTTAGCAATGAATTCTAATCTAACGTCAAATTGTGTGCAATGTGCATATAAATGTAGAGTGTTTGATGTCCAAGACACGAAGTAAATATTTTGAGGACTTAGCCTTATTTCAGCTTGTTATGAGTAGATTTGAGACATTTCATGTTGTGAATCTCGATCTTCCTGGATATATATGTCTGCTAATTTAGGAGGTAGTGTGACCTGTGAAGTTGTGACTGAACTTCACCATGGAGGAGTGGGTTTTCCTGTATCCATCTCCAAAGAAGTTCTAAGGAAATTTGATGTTTGAAATCTTTATGAATGTGGCTTTTATAGGTAAAGATGATTTCTTTTTTTCATTTATGCAATTGGAGAGCATTGATTGTTCATTGTGCAGTTTCCTTAAGTGGAATGTGGAAATCCTTGACTCTTCCAGGTATGGTCACATTGTACCTTGAATCTAACTGGTACAATGAAGCAATCTAATGTAACAAGTCATCATTATATTTGTTTCTACCCCTTAGAAAGAAACTGGGATGGTTACCAAATTGAAGATGAGTATATAAAGTGCAGGAAATGTCTAAGGTAATCTGCAGTCACAAGAATAAGAATGTTCCTCAAACACCAGTATGTGAACAGAAACAAAACCAAGAAAACTACAAACTAGGCCATGTTCAAATTTCTTTAGTCTCACAAAATTTCTCCAAAGATGAACAAAGGTTGAGTGTCTACAGTCTGAAAATTGAATATTTAAAATATTCCAATATTGGAAATTTAGGAAGTGCCAATATTATGCCACAAATCACATTATCTAATGTTTCAAAATAAGCAGGTTATTTTCCAAGCTCAAGATTATAAGAATGCTGTGTGAAAATTCATATAGACATTTAGTATGTGTATAATGAATTTTGTTTTTAGGCCAGGAACGAAATTGAAATTATCTAACTATATAAATGTGAGTATTGGCTGCAGACAGACAGGTCTGCGCACGCCCTACCGAGGTCCTGAGTCACGCGGAAGATGCCAAATCAGCACGTTGCAGACAGGGAGGTCTGTGCACACCTTACCGAGGTCCCAAGTCACGCAGAAGACTCCGAATCAGCCCGCTGCAGACAGGCAGGTCTGCGCATGCCCTACCGAGGTCCCGAGTCGCACGGAACACGCAGAATCAGCCTGCGCCCCGGCAACAATCCACTGGACCCCCACCCCCACTCCTCTGTACAGCCACCTGGTTCCACACTACAAAGACGCAGAGGACACTGGACCACCAGTCCACGGTACTGAGTCCCGCTGCTTCCGGCCCAGAGGTAGGGGCTTCTGAGCCGCCAACCCTCCTGATGCTCCCAGCCCAGAGGATAGGGCTTTTGGGCCACCTTCTGTCCCGCAGCTCCTGGCCCAGAGGAAGGGGCTTCTGGGCCACCATCCCTCCCACCACTCCCGGTCCAGAGGTAAAGGCTTCTGAGCCTTCATCCCACTGCTCCTGGACCAGAGTAAGGGGATTCCTGGCCACCATCCCTCCCACTTCTCCCACCCCACAAGAAAGGGCTTTTGGGCCACCACCCCTACCGCTGCTCCCGGGCCCTGTCCTACCTCTCCCAGCTCAGAGGAGGTAATCTGTGCAGGCACAAACAGCCCCCCCCAGTCGAAATGAGAAAACACATAAATAAGTCTCAAAACCAGACTTCCAGATCACCTACAGTAACCCCAAAGGGAAATGAGATGGAACAC